TTTATTTACTATGTAATCATCTAAGTAATGTGCTTTGAGGTATTTAAAGTTGTGTGTACTGCTGTGATTCTAGTTGGATTTGAAACTCTTTTGCAGACTGGATGGTTCGAAGGACATGAGGGCTCCAGTTTTAAAACCAGGCCCCAAGGATGCAGCTCAGCATAAGGAAATATACATTCAAGCAAAGGTAATCCATTAACTTCCATTGCTCAATTCTAATATAAGAAAATGCGTATAGTTTGAAAGTTGCATTAAGTTTTCGTGAAATTATTGCACTTAAAACAACCAAAAAGAAAAGAATGGTGAATCTTAAAGATTCAACTTTATGCAGAAGTTAAATATGATAGAAAACAGGGATAACTGTATCTGTATGCCGGCTTAATAGACATTGGACACTGACATAGAAGTTACTTGTTTCAAGTCTATTTGCCATTTGTTTGCCATTGTATTTACCGTATGAACACATCTTCCTATCATCTTCCAGTTTCCGTTGCGTTCTGAATGCTTCTCCTATTATGCTATTACCGTCGACCGTTTATGATGTACTGTAATTATCTTGACTTTTATTTTTCCATAAAACTAAGAAAAAGGCTGTTATTGTTAATGTGAAGAATAATTGTTTTCCCACAAGCAGTATGTGGAGAAAGTGATGGTTATTAGAGATGTAGCTGCATCGGGCATGCCTGTTCTTGCAGCAGATATATGGGAAGCAGTCAAGGCTGGTAATTTACAAGAAGTCTACCGCATTATCGTGATGTCAGATGTGAATATTGTCGACACCGCCTTTGAGAATGTGGTTACTCATGATTTATATCACCATGCTGAAGCAATACAGTCGGAGTCAGATTTTAACACGATGGAGATGAAACTGTATGATCCAGCAGCATGTGATAGAATCAAGGAGTCCAATGAGCCTGGGAACTGTCTTCAAGGTTGTTCATTATTGCATCTGGCTTGTCACTCTGGCAATCCGATGATGGTTGAATTGTTGCTGCAGTTTGGTGCCAACATGAATTTGCGGGATTTCCATGGAAGGACTCCTTTGCACCACTGCATCGCCAGCGGGAACAACTCATTGGCAAAGTGGCTACTTAGGAGGTAATGTATCTATTTGGGGTTGAAAACTGTGCTTGACAGAAACAAATTCATCCTTTTTCTAATTCTTAGACGAAAACTTGTGATGCAGGGGTGCACGCCCGTCAATTCAAGATGGGGGAGGGCAAAGTGCATTAGAAAGAGCGATGGAGCTGGGAGCAATTACAGACGAGGAGTTGTTCATACTACTTTCAGAACACGAGTGAAATGGAAAATTCGTCCATTATGCGGGTTTCCTCCTCACTTTCTGCTAATGCCGGAAACCTGTTTTGACTTCACTGACTTTTATCATGAACAAGAGCCAAATTCCTATGTCAGAGGAGGAGATCCGTCGAGTTTTTGTCTGTTAATCTCCGTAGGTGTCACAAGCATTTTCTTCGTCACGGGTCTTTTCATAATGTAATGTAATTTGTCTTTGAATTAAAATGTTCTTACCTCTTGGTCAGATTGGTTTATTTATGCATCTTTTAGTTATGAATTTTATTGAGATCCATTTAATATTTACATTAAAAAAAACCACACACCTACCGTTGGTACTTGGTGGAGGAGGATCACCATCTTCATTTACTTTTCATTGATTCATTTACATTTGGGGCCGCTTCCCGCACTACGTACAGGAAGCGAGGCATTTATGAAAAATGGGAAATGGAAATCCCAAATTAAAAGTCGTTAATTCTGGCACTAACTAACATTTCCAAAATATTTGTGCTGCTACTAAATCCCGTAGATGCAGGAAACATATGAATAAGATGATATATTTAACAAGTTGATATGTTTTCCTTGTCCTAGCCAAATTTAACGAGTTTGTTTCGAAATTTGTTTACGAGCTATGCAAGTAAAGAAGGCTCCCGCTACAAAAGAAGTGTCAAAAATACAATTCTACATATTCAACTACTTGACATCTCTCTCGTCTCCTTACAAAATTATCTCCAAACGCGTACTGTAATTTCAAAATTAGAAGATCACTATTACAAATGCAACTGTAAACTATTGCAAATGCAGGATCTTTTGTTGACGGCTTCACGGACTACTTGAATCCGGTTCTATTGTTGATCGTAACCCGCCACGAATCATCATCTGGGAGTAAAATTCCGCATGTTCCTGACAACCCAAATAGAGTACTGCCGTAAACACAATAATCAAGCATTCCAACAATTTAACAAGTTATCTTCCGAACACGAAGCATGGAAATACAAGGTGTCGCACTGCGGTGAAAGCGAACAAGTAGAACCAGTTTTTAATCTTATAGCATACACTCATTGCAGCCAACTAGACAGCATGCTTCTATAAGGTAATAAGTGGTGAAGTACGCCGGGCAGGCAGAGTGCATTAAACCAGCGATAATCTCCTTAAAGATTTACACAAGAACAAAACATAATTCAACATCGAAGGACTCGCTTGAAAAACAACCAACGACAACCCATGTCTTTTGAATCCGATGCATACACCATTCCTAATCACAAGACTTTAACGTTTATATGGGGTTTAAGAGCATCTCTTGGCTAAGCTCAGCGATTTTTTTCTTCCGGACAAAATACATTGCGCAAGAGAAAGCTCTGAGAAACCAAAAGAAACTACCAGCGGACATCAAGATTAAAACAAATTTGACCAAAGATTTCTATATGTGCAAAGCTGTATGGTAACCATAGAGCATTTACCTTCACTGTAACGATAACAACCGCGACGCCATCTTCCCTTGATTTGTGAAATAATCCTCTTGCAACATCAGGTGTAACAGATGGAACAACTTGGGGCAACACCTTTGCAACTACAAAAGATAAAACAGGAAATTTGGTTTAGTTGAAATAACAATTTCATATTTCGGCATAGGCATAGGTTTGATGGTCATTTCATTTCTAACAACGAATCGACCGCTGGTTTCCCGCAAGGTAGGGTTGACTGTATGAATCCTATAACACTTCTGCGGAAGGTAGAGGTGTATGAACAATTTACCTAATTTTTCGGTGTGGCGAACATCATCAATCAGCAAAACTCTGTAACTATCTCCGCTACCAACACCTCTCTTGTCCTTTGATCGTCCAATATCTCCTCCTGAAATTCCAACATTACACAAATGGGAATTCAACTTCAATTTTTTTTCTTCCAGTTTTCATATCAAATAGCCAAATTCGTAAAACTAAAATCCCAGATGCGAAAAAAGAGGGATACATGGTAAAAGAAGGCACCGTACCTTGTTGAAGTTGGGTGGCAGGATCAAATCCGGATTGGTCAAACTTGGGGCGCTCCAACACTCCGGCGCCACCGCCCTTGGAAGACCCAAACCTGGCCGTCACAGCCACGCGACTACCTCCTCGTATTTCTGGGCCTTCCTTGACAGCCAAAACCTTACAACAACTGCGCGGCGGAGCTGACAGAGGAGCGAATCCGATCATCTTGGTCAGGAAAAACGACGAGGCCGTAGCTGTTCCTGTAACAGCCATGCTCATTTCTACTAGTCTAGTATGAGTAGTCTCCGGCGGTGGTAGCTTGAGCAAATGAGTGGGTAAGATTATAAGAACGCACAAAAACTCAGAAGAAAGAAGGAAATCAGGGAGAGAATATTTCCAAATTCTCACAGAAAAAGATTGCAGGGTTTTGATTGCTTTTGTAGGACGCAGGAACAGTAGTCAGTGAGGCTTCAGGTGGATGACTAATGGACGGCTGATCTTATCCCAAATTAAACTTCTTTTTTTTCTTATATATAATAATAATTGTCGTGTGGCTAAATTAATCATGGTCCTCCTTTTTTAGCTGGAAATTATTTCTGTTTTTTAAGGTCTGTAATATTATTGGAAATGAGTGTCATGTATTCATTTGCATCGACAGTTTTTTTTTTCCAGAATTCTCTAGATGCTTCCTCTTCTTGATCCACTGTTCTGAATTCTCTCTTGGACTTGCAATATGACAGCGAGGCTAAATATTATAGGTTTCGCGGATGCGATAAAAAGCCATGCTCTTAATCTTTTGGAGATGTGACCATTTGCTTTAAGAATATAATTGTTTAGTGAGATATGAGTTTCGCGTATTAATTTGCAGTGATGTAAATAAACAAGGTGGTACGATTTTACAAATTCTTCTTTTTTAACAACTAACAATTTAAATAATTAATATTATTATTTTTTTTTTTAAAAGACAACTGGTGACAAGTCACGGTTATTTATTATTTGTAGGCACCGAGAAAACTCACAAAGTCATTCCAGCCTTCCCTGGCCACAAGTTTGGTGTGAATCTACCCCTTTCGGGAGCCGGAGAGACTCACAGAGGCATTTCAGCTTCTCTCTGGTCACAAGTCTGGCTTCCACACTAGATGACTTCCATTTTAGTTTGAAGGAAGTCTCGCAATCCGTCCTTTATCACTGGGCCACCAGCTCGTAGTTACATTATCGTTTGTTCACAAAATTATTTTTAAATAAGAAAGTTGGTTACTTGGATCAAAAGTTAACCGGCCTAAATTAAAAACAAAAATCTCAAAGAATAAATCAAATAATTGTTCTCTTTAATAGGCTACTATTGCTTCTCCTTCAAACCAAAAAAACAAAAATATAAGAAAAAATATCTTTTTAATAGAATCCCTTTTGGATTAGGGAACTTTAACGAAAAACACTCGGTACTGTTCACTTTAACGAAAAACCACATTTTTACACTAAAAAATCAATCATGGTACTATTCACTTTACCCTTTATTTTGTCCTTATCATTAAAACTTAAAGTTTTCAAGCCATTTTCATTAGTTTTTCTTTTGGATTAACCCGGGATCGGCTTTAAGATAAGTCCGGTCCAAATTTCCAAGCCTGATATTGCGAAGTCTTTCTTTTTGGGCCTCGAACATAGTCTGAGTCCAGTTGAGCCCATCCCATTAAATCTAAGCCCAATTTCAAATATCCGGCCCCCCAATTGATCACCGGCTATAAGGCTAATCAAATTCCTCCTCGATTCGACGGTTCGCACTTCCAGACTCGACGACTACTCGCAGTCGCAGGGCCGCAACCCCAACGTTGAACCGCCAACCCCCACCCGTCTCTATTTGTTTCTTCTCGCCGTCTTCGTCGACCTGTTAGCGGTACGTCCCTTGTCAATTTTCTTCTTTCAATTTCCGTTTTCTTTCTGTTTTCTCGGCAACCAAACAGGAATCGAAGAATGCAAAATTTGTTTATCATTGTTACTATTACATAGTTAGGGTTTTATTTGTGCAAGAAGCTTAGAGCTAGGTATATTAACCAAATTTACAATCAAAATTAATCGCCTCAAGAATTTTGTATTAATCAAATTTACAATTGTTAGGGTTTAGGAAGGTGAATGAGCTATGGCGTCTTCGAGTAAATCTTTGAAAGAGTATTTGAAACGGTATGAAGTGAATAATGAAGAGGATAAGAAGAAAAAGAAGAAGAACAAGAAGCAGAAAACCAAGGCGGAGCCAATGGGCGTTTTAGTGGTTGATGAAGACCCTGTTTGGCAGAAACCGGTGAATGTTGAGGAAGATAATGGTGACAATTCATCGGATGAAGACAAACCTGTAGTTGATGAGGACATTGAGATTAAGAGGATGAAGAGACTTCAACAATTGAGGGCCAGACGTCCCTTTAATTCCATATCCGAAGATGGAAGCGGTTGGGTTACAGTTGGAGACTCTCCTCCTAAACAGTCAAACTCTGATTTATCTCCACCTCGTAGGGAGAGGAGTTTGGTTCTGAAATCTGAACCAATGTCTCCGAAAAATAGGAGGGAAGATGCTGACTTGTCACCTCCACGACAGAGACGGAAGCGCCACCACACCCCGTCACCCGAGCCTGAAACAAATCACGAGTACTTGCCTCCTCCTCCTGGATCAGACCTTTCACCCCCAAGGAAAAGGAGGCAGGATGTTGATACAGATCTGTCTTCACCAAGGAAGAGCAGGAAGGATAGTAATAAAGATCTGTCTCCACCAAGGAAGGGCAGGAAGTACGCTGATTCAGATCTTTCTCCACCGAGGAAAGGTAGGAACAATGTTGATGCTGATCTTTCTCCACCAAGGAATAGCAGGAGGGATGTTGATACTGATCTTTCCCCACCAAGGAAAAGCAGGAAGGATGTTGATGGTGATCTTTCCCCGCCAAGGAATAAAAAGCAAGTTACTCCGCACCCTCGTAAAGAGCAACCAAAAGTTGGTCTGATCTCTGGCCGAGAGATTAGTGACGAGATCAATAAAACGAAGAAGGATGAGTGGTTAAGGTATGTGCCTGTTTTAACCAACATATATATGACAATGCATCATGATGAATAAGTACTGTGCATATCTTTTCATTCAGCTAACTTGGTTTCAAAATCAAGTAGAGGGATTTCATTCTATTTTTACTTTTTGCTAGAGGTTGTTTTGTGCTTTCAATGAAAACTTAACTGTCGGTTTTTCCCTTTGTGGTCCGATGGTGTGTCTTTTATGTGCGTGCTGTTGTACGGTGGCTATATGGATTTTCATAAATTTTGGTCACCAATGATTTGTTTATGTAGTTCAGAATGGTAATTTGACAGATAAATGTTTTATTTTCTGTCTGACTTAGAAAATATTGTTTTCTGTAGATTTCAACAGATGGATCCTTCTGTAAGTGGGAGAGAGGCAGTACCTATATATCGTGATAAGAAAACAGGTGAGCTGAAGTTGTATTTTTTCCTCTTATAGTTATATATGTGACTTTTGTGTGTTTTATCTGGCTCTCACACACCAATGTGCAGGGGAACGCATTTCGAAGGAGGAGCTTTTGAAATCGCAAAGGAAAATAGATGAAAAACCAAAGGTATGCTGGAACTTAGCGAATGGGTCATATTTATAATAAATTATATGCTGTGATGATAACCGCAGTATAGAACTAAACATTTATTAGCTTTATACTGTGCGGGATGTTTTGAATTGTCTTATGGTTCTATTCTAAGTTTTGTCACCATGGAAACATGAAGTTTATATTTTATTATTTATGGTGCTTTTTGAATAGAGTACTTATGGTCATTTTGCCTGTATTTGTATCAGGAGATAAAGTTGGAATGGGGCAAAGGCTTGGCCCAAAAGCGAGAAGCTGAAACTAAGCTGGAGGAATTAGAACTTGAGAAGGATAAGCCTTTTGCGCGGACTAGGTAAATTCTAGAGAAGTCCAAGTTATCTTTCCCTTTAATAAAGGCTATCCCTTATGCTTATTGCGTTTTCACATTTTATCTTCTGTTTGCAGAGATGATCCAGAACTCGACAAAATATTGAAAGAGAGGACAAGGTGGGGCGATCCCATGGCACATTTGGTAAAGGTAATAAGTTAGGGTTGCTATGTAGTAGGGTATAGAATTATCGAAATTAGTACTGATTTGGAGTTTTACATTTGCTTTGCTGTCATGCTGCAGAAAAAGCATTCCGAGCCAGTTCTCTCTAACTTGGGGGATGATGAGAAAATGAAGGAATCTGGATTCATTATTCCCCAGGATATTCCTGTTCACAGCTGGTTAAAAAGAGGATTGGATGCTGCACCAAATCGATACGGTATAAGACCAGGAAGACATTGGGATGGAGTTGATCGCAGTAACGGTTGGTTCTCTTTTCTCATTCTGCATATGAGGACTTTCTTTTACTTTATCGCATGATACACCGAGGGCAAACATGTGCATGATTATTTCAGAATTTACTAATCAGTACCTTGTGTGTCATGCAGGATTTGAGAAGGGAATGTTCAAAAGGAAGAATGAGAAACAAGCCACGGAGGCAGAAGCTTATCTTTGGTCTGTGGCGGATATGTGACTTGTACCGAGTAAGGAATCCATGTACTTGCATCTTTGGACAGCCACTACAGATCTGCTATCGTACTAATTGTTATCGATGAATGTAACACTATACTAGTCTGAGGTTCCTCTTGCTAAGAGCGCAGTGGGAATTCTGTACACTCCTGCAGCTGATATCGTTTGTGTTTTTTGCCGCTATAGGCAATGTTTGTCACCAGCCATGATGGTTGGGTTTGGTTTCCTTTGCAAATCCAATGGAGATTCAAAAAGATTTGAGTAGCTATCAGAGTAATTTTAGGCTTTAGGGTTCAGACTTTTGATGAGCCTTTTTCTCTTTCTGTTTTTTTTTGTTATCTTTCTGCTAGAGGTATAAGATTTTTGCACTATTTCTTGAATTGGGCCTGGGTCTTTTCTCGGTCGAAATTCTAGGCCCAATGTTAAGTTTTCTTTTGTCCTAATAGAACAAGGCCTGTAGAGGTGGCGATACAGGTCAACTTCTGGACTCAAAACCACTGGGTGGAAATTCTCAGAGAGGTGAAATAAGAACGATATAAAATGAAGGACTTCTCACTTCTGGCGGATTCTGGAAGGATTTGGAAGGCCGGGTCCAACACGTAACTCGTTTCCCGGTGGGCAGAACCGGACCGAACTCTAAAAGGCCCAATCCAATAAATGATATAAAACCAAGAATTTGAAAAAGATTGTGGGAAGATCCCAATTTAATTTTGTTCGAGTGCAACTGCCGCTGGGTCATATGGCTCATAGGCTGCTGAGAAATCCGGAGGCGGACGGTTGGGAACGATCGGACTTTCCCATCATCTGCGAATCATGCCTCGGCGACAACCCCTATATCCGGATGACAAGAGCCGAATACGACAAGGAGTGCAAGATTTGCAGCCGTCCTTTCACGGTGTTTCGGTGGAGGCCCGGCCGCGACGCCCGGTACAAGAAGACGGAGATTTGCCAGACTTGCTGCAAGTTGAAAAACGTCTGCCAAGTCTGCCTCTTGGATCTCGAATACGGCTTGCCGGTTCAGGTTCGAGACTCCGCTCTCGCCATTGATTCCAACGATTCCATCCCTAGAAGCGACGTCAATCGCGAGTTCTTCGCCGAGGAGCACGATCGAAGGGTATGTATAACTTCAACTCTCTCTCTCTCTCTCTCTCTCTCCACTTTGCCCATTTTTTATTTGGTTTTGATTTGGGTGAATGTGGTGCAGGCTAGGGCTGGCATAGATTACGAGTCTTCGTACGGGAAGGTGCGGCCGAACGACACAATTCTGAAGCTTCAAAGGACGGAGCCGTATTACAAGAGGAACCGAGCTCATGTCTGCAGTTTCTACATTCGGGGTGAGTGCACGAGAGGTGCCGAGTGCCCTTACCGGCACGAGATGCCAGTTACCGGGGAATTGTCACAACAGAACATCAAAGACCGTTATTACGGGTATGTTTTTCATAACATACATGACTAAATATTAAAAGTTTGTGTATTTGTTTGTTGGTGATCATTGTTTCTGTTGTTTATGGCATGGTTACTTACTAAAAACGGGAGAATTGAAATTTTAGAAAATGCTTCGGAGTATTCTGTACTCCAGATTTTTTGGTAGTTAGATCTTTGGTCAAACTTACAATGATCTAACGGTTAAAAACCCCGAATGTTGAATACTCAGGAGCATGATAGAATTGTTGCGGGGCAACTTGGGAAAGGGAAGTAAGGTATGGGAGTCGGATCAACTACCCGACTATTTGATCCTGTTTCTGGTTTTGAGTATTTGATTAACAGTTTTATGGCGGTGGTCATATTTTTTTTATTCTTAGGGTGTTAGTAAACGTGGGAAAGTCAGTAATTAGAATGATTCTCTTTATTCTCCTACTTAATCGTGGCAAGGAAACGTGTCGTTAATGTTTTTGGATCAATTGTTTGCTCATACTGAATTTCTCATTTTTGTTAGCTATTAGAGGAAATTGTTAGATGGATTTTTGAAGTTTATGTTGTGATTCTTGTGAATTATGATGCTCATTTCTTATCTTACATATCTGCAGAGTCAATGATCCAGTGGCAATGAAGCTGCTTAACAAGGCTGGAGAGATGCCCACCCTGGAACCACCAGAGGATGAGAGCATTAGAACGCTATATGTGGGCGGGATTGATGCGAGAATATCTGAGCAGGATTTGAGGGATCATTTTTACGCTCATGGTGAAATAGAATCCATAAGGATGGTGCTCCAAAAAGCATGCGCGTTTGTAACATACACGACGAGAGAAGGCGCAGAAAAGGCGGCTGAAGAACTCTATAGTAAACTGGTAGTGAAGGGTTTGAGATTGAAGTTACTCTGGGGAAGGCCCCAAGCACCAAAAGAGGAACCTGAGGGCGCAAATGGAGCTACGCAGCAGGCGTTAGCTCATGGTGGATTGTTGCCTCGAGCAGTCATATCCCAACAGCACAACCAATTACAACAGGACCAATATGCTCCAGTGCACTTGTACAACATCCCACCTCCACCCTCCCAGGAGAGAACATTTTATCCTTCGATGGATCCTCAAAGGATGGGTGCCCTCATCCCGTCCCAGGACAGGATCCCCAGTGTGTCTGCGGGGTTGGGCGAGAAGAATGCCAATTTCGATAGGCAGCAGCATTATACATTTCAAACTGCGGCTCCACCGCAAGGTCAATATCATCAGCAATTTTATCCTCCTCCGTATGGGTATATGCCGGCTCCACCACAACCTTACTCGCAGGATCATGATGCAGTGCCTCCGCCACCATCGTTACCAATGGACCAACAGCACCAGCATTCTGCAACACCATCTGAGTCTGGTTCAACTGTTGAAACCTAAATCGTTTTGTTCTGTGAACTTGTTAGTTAGACTTGAGCTGGCCTTGCATTCTGAATTCAGTAAACTAATCTGTCTTCTGTGGATCATTCTTAATGCGTGACTTGTGATATCCCAAATCTTGATGCAATTGTTGGTTGAATATTAGAGCTATGAGCTACCAAATATATATATTACCTTAACAGTATGTTGATATTTAGTGATTAGCGCTGGGGAGGTGATTTTCTCTCACTTTAAAATTGAAAGGCATGGTTCTTATATTTATTATTCTTAAACTCTTACTATCGAAATAACGATCGCATCATTTTCTATTTGCAAAAAGAAAAAATTTCCATTTTTGATAAAAAAATGTGGGTTTACACTCAAGTTTTTAGTTGGTTTTGCAAATTCATACATAAATTGTCATTTAATCTATTTATTTCACCTTCTTCTTACCGTGAAGCTTTGAAAATTATGGTATGCTTTTCCATTGATATTCTTGTTGGTGGAACTCCCATTTTAACAATGTTTTGGGCGTCTCTATTATATTTTTCACATATTTTTTTTAGTTTTCGACTTAAATAGTCTATTACATATATATTTATTGCTCAATAAATAATAAAATTACTTTTAAATGCCTTATAAAGCTTTTCTTAATATTTACAGAAAATAATTCGCGAAAATAATTTTGACAAATAAACGTGCTAGCACTCACGGTTTTTAGTTAATTTGCAAATACATAAATCATCGTTCAATCTATTCATTTTCAACTTCGCCTCACCATTAAGTTTTGAAAATTAATGTAAGACTTTTCATTGGTATTTTGAAGGGTGAGACCAGTTTTTTACAATGTTTGGAGCCTTATAACTATATTTTTCACTATTTTTTTAGTTTTCAATATTCTACTGATACATATTTGTTGCTCAATAAATTGTAAAATCGTTTCTAAATGCCTTATAAAGTTCTTTTTAATCCTCAACTGAAGTTTTACACTTGAGGGAAGAAATGTTCTGGCACCCTCAAAAATTTGAACCCTTTATGTAAAAAAATTCTTTTATTTCTCTTACTACTAAAACAAACTATCGTATTCATGTTCTTCAAAATATATATTTTTGTGTGTGGAGCCCGACTCGTTTTCTAGGCACTTGGGACTTCATTCAGCTCTACGTGCGGGGGCTCGCCTCGTCTTGTATGCCTCGGTTCGTCTCATTCTACATGTGAGGTGTCCGCATCATTTTGCGTGTCAAAAGCCCGCATTTTTTGCATCCAAGGAGCTCTCATCATTCTGACATGCACAGAGCCAGCCTCGTTTTTCGTGCACAGGACTGGTCTCAAATTGTGCGACTTATCCTTTCCGTGTGCGAAGCTCGCCTTGTTTTGTATGTAAGAAGCCCGCCTTGTTTTGGGGGCCATGGTTCCTCTCATTCTACGTGAGCTGAGTTCGTCTCGTTTTGCATGTGTCAAGCCACCTAACAGCCAAGTTTTTTTTTGACAAAAATGCAAGTTTTTTATTTTTGCAAAATGTTTTTCCTGAGTATTAATTTAAACTTTTTAAGGAACTTGGAAGAAGTTTTACGGTTTATTGAGCAATAAATGTATGTTTAGTAGAATATTTAAGCCAAAAACTTAAAAAATAAGTGAAAAATATAGTAGTCAGACCCAGAACATTGTCAAATGGGGTTTTATCCTCAAGAATCTCAACGGAAAGTCTCACCTTAATTTTCAAAACATCACAGTGAGGCAAAGGTGAAAATGAATAGATTGAACAGTGATTTATGTACGAATTTGCAAACCTAACTGAAAACCGTAAGTTAATCAACATTTTTTGTAAAAAAATGCAAATTTTTTATTTTCTCAAAATACTTTCATTTAGCAGTAAGAAAATCTTTATAATGTATTTAGAAGCGAATTTACAATTTATTCAGCAACAGGTGCATATTTAGTATAATATTTTAAGCCGAAAAGTAAAAAAATAAGTGAAAAATATAGAGATGTTAAAATGAATATTTTTTTTTATTATTATTTTTTTAAATTGGAGATGTTAAAATGTATATTTAGTGTATAATAAATTTTGCACAGAAAAATATATTTTAAAGAACATGAATACGATAGTTTGTTATAATGGTAAGAAAAATGTACCAAAATGGTTGAATTCGCGTGACTTTCTGGTACCCTCAAGAATTTGAACCATTTTTGTTAATTTTTTTTTTATATTTCTCTTACCGCTACAACAAACTATCATATTCATGTTCTTCAAAATATGTTTTTTCATGCATGATGCCTGACTTGTTTTCTAAGCACTCGAGAGTTTGCCCCGTTCTGCTTGCAGGGGCCCACCTCGTCTTGTGTGCCTCGGTTCGCTTCGTTCTACATGTGAGGTGTCTGCATCGTTTTGCGTGACAGAAGCCGCCCCTTTTTGCGTCAACGGAGTACTCGTTGTTTTGCTAGCCTTGAATTCTAGGATGTATCCCACCTAATTTTTGTGCGTGGAGCTTGCCTCGCTTTGCATGCCTTAAGTCCGTCCCATTTTCTATGAGTGGAGCCCATCTTGTTTTGTGTGTCATGATTCACTCCGTTTTGCATGTGATGAGTCCGCCTCGTTTTGCGTGCGTCGAGCCCGCCTAACACCATGTTTTTTTATAAAAATGAAAATTTTTTATTTTCGCAAAATATTTTTCCTAAGCATTAAGTTAAACTTTTTAAGGAATTTGGAAGCAAATTTACGGTTTATTGAGCAACAAATGTATATTAAGTAGAATATTCAAGCGAGAACTAAAAAACTAAGTTAAAAATATAGTAGTAAGACCCAAAATAGTGTTCTACCCTGAAAAACAGCAATGAAAAATCTTACATAAATTCTCAAATCCCAGAGTGTGGGGTAGGTGAAAGAAAATTAGTGTTATGATGAACTTTGAACAAAATTATTAACCCGACTAGAAAAAGTGAGTGAAAATTTCCCCCAAAAGCTGCCCTCGTGTTTTCTGAGTTTGTGTGATTGGAACTTGGCCTTTTGTTGCGTTCCAAATCAGCATCTCTTTACTTCGTCTTTATCCCTTGACTCGTATGTTCTGTCAAAATATCAGCTAGATTCGAATCATATTACTTGACTTGGAGAGTAATTAAGAAGTTTCACGTTGGCACGAGTGGAGCCGAATCCAGAGCAATTTGAGATAGATTGGGCCAAGAAAAAGGCTCACTTTCCTTACCAAATTCTTTCCCTGCCGACTTGGATATTAATTTCATCTCTAAACATTAATTTGATATTGTTATAATTACGTTTGACCCTAGTAATGTAATAGTTACACCGAAAAACTTTTTTAGATACTTAAGTGAAAAAGTAAAAAGACACGAAAGAATTATGTATCTTATATCTAAGCGGAGGAGAAATACATATGTAATTTCTCTATGTGTACATAAGTGAATATATATTATATTAGTAATTGTACACATGCTATGTATGTATTTATTAAATTTTGAAAAATTCACAAAGATAGGAAATATAAAATGGTCTTAACCATTTGGTGACAACTTTCAAACGATTTTTATTGTTGAATTTCATAACTTTAATGACTGTTTAAGGATAACTAGTTCATACTAAAATTTTATTTTATCAGGGAGAAAAATGTGAAAAAGAAAATAAGGCAATTGATATGATTACCTTATTGTGAGGCTAAAAAAAATAAAATTATTTTGTGTTTACTTACTATATTGCCCATAAATTTTATTTGATCATTTTCTTTAATTTATTGACATAATTATTTTAATCTTTTCATTCTTTTTTAGTTGACAATAAAATTCTATTAATAAATAATAAAATTACTATTAATAATTGTCCCATATCTCTATCTCCCTCCCTCCCTCCTTTTATAGTGAAGATTAAAATGGTGTAAGTATATAACTATTATTTTATAGTTGAAGTAATAAAATATGTTTGAGGATGACGACTATTAAATTACTAACAAAAGAGGATGTTTTCCTTGGAGACAAGACAGCCCGTGTTGACTTTCGACTATTGAATGGAATCAACTTCTTGTAATTTTCTTTTCTTTTACAAATCCAATATAATAATATAATTGTCCTAAATATGGTAACGTCCTTGTGATGTTTGTTGCATATTTTTGCTGCTGCAGGCTGCGCCGGTTTTCTAGCATGAACCAAGTAGTATGTATCGAGATCTTTCACTTGATGTATGCTATGTGCCAGTTCATTTCAAAATCTTGGTCGTTGCTATCGAAGAAGGAATCTCGAAAGGCCGACTTTGTGTCCAAGTTTCTGAACATCCTGCTGGACTTGATTCCTGTAATCTCGAAAAGTGAAGTTTCTGTAGATGGAAGATTGTGATCTGCAACTCCCGATTAAAGAATCGTAGGAAGGGCACATGAAGTATGCTATTGAGTAACGTTCCCTCTTCTCGTTTGCCATCACCTTGTGCTCCACACTTTTGTACACATCATTGCTCCACGCCTATATTATACAGTTAGGGTTTATTTTAACTAATTAATCCAGAGTAACCACAGCTTAATTATTATGAACTAATCAAATTAATGGGAGCTGAGTGATGACGTTTTTGAAGAGCTAATTTCTCACCTGAAAAAGATCTCCGATGTTAACAATAAGTGCATCTTGGTTAGGTTTTACAGCAACCCATTTGGAGTCTTTCAAGAGCTGAAGTCCTCCCACTTCGTCCTGGCTTAGAATTGTGAGGAAATCGCTGTCAGTGTGAGGCACTAAGCCGAACATCTCCGGTGATATCGGACAAGCCGGGTAGCGGTTCAATCGGAGAAAGCAAGTGCTCGAGTCACAAATGTCTTGCAGCGCCTCCTTCCGGTAGCCCAGGTTGTTCACTAGAATCCCGGCTAGCAACTCCGCCAGGTTTGCCATTGCTCCTGCAAATACTTCCATCACTTCCCTGTACAAGATTACCAAAAAAGAAAGCTTGATGAGTTATTATTGACAAAAAGATTACCAAAAAAAGAAAGCTTGATGAGTTATTATTGACAAAAGGTACTGCCAATGCCATACTGCATTGGCCACTGTGATGTGTTCGGCCAGAAGCAACTTGAAAGTTCCAAGTTGCATTTAGAGGGACCACTTTGTCACAGGCCACACATTTTCCAGAACATTACATCGCACAAGTTCTTTTATTCTCGTTTATTTTATTTGATTTAAATTTAAAAAGTAAATAAATACATGTGTGCAAGGGTAAAA